CGAACAGCCCGCGTCGTGGCAGTGGCCTTGGGGAACGGTGCATCATTGACAGACCCGACAAGCCCAACGACACCTGCTCCTGGCAACGAACAGAAGGACCTGCAACAGTTGGTTCGCTCTATTGTAAGTGAATGCATAAGCCCCTCGGCAGTCATCGTGCACAACCCTCGTACCAAGATTGCCCATAAGCCGAGCACGTCTGAGAGTGCCTTGGACAGTTCTTGCTGGTCTACTGCGTGTGGTAAATGGAAATATGGCTTGTCTAGATGTGTGCGAAATTTGGAAGTGCTGTCAGGCTACAAAGCCTGTAGAGCTTGTTTCGGCAGCCCCAAGAAGGCGGAGGAGTCAGCGAGTGCAACGTCAGAGGAGTCAGCCTCTGATAGCTCTAGTGGTTGCGAGTAGACTGTGGGGTTGCGGACGGACGTCCACCCACTGACCTTGACAAGTGTGAGAGCGAAAGTCTGCGAGTTGTTGTTGTTGTTGTTGAAAGGTGGGTCGTACGACCCGGAGTTGTGACGCGTGCCTTAGGTTGTGCGTGGGTGCTTGCCTTTTGTAGTGCGTGAGCGCTTGTTCAATGTCCCGCGATAGTTGAAGTTGCACTTTCCACTTGTTGCAAGTTCGGCCCTAGTGCTTGAGATCTAGCAGTGGCTTGTAGCGTCCTGTAGCGACCTGTAGTGTGAGCAATGTCTCCGAGCCAACCTCCCAAGCTCCCTGACCTCGCCCGCCTGGCTCAGGAATCTGGCTTGGACAAGAACGTGATGGCATTCCTCCGCGAGTCTGGTGTGAATACCTCCGGGGTCCTCTTCCACCTCTTCTCAAAAAGGGAGCGCATTGCAAAGACCTTGCAGCCCCTCGAGGCTGGGGTCCGCGTGCAAGGGACAAACGTCAAGTTGGACTTCGTTGCCATGGGTGTAGCAGTGGCTGTCTTGGAGCACATGGTGGATCAAATCGAACTGGCTCGGAAAGCCCAGTTTGCATGCGGCGCTTCGACCCCCACGATGACCACTTCGGACGCTTCGACCAGCTCGGCAGAGGACCAGAAGCCCCCCAAGGTGTTGCCCAAAGGATACTGGGCAACCGTCATTCAGGACTTTGAGAAGGAAGTGGTTGCAGGCCAGAATAGAACGTTTCCTTCGCACCAGCTGGTTGGGGCAGAGGAAGTT